CCTTCTAAATCTTCATTGCAGACTAGTTTTTGTTTCTTCTTCTTTCAGACATTTCCTTCATCTTTATACTTTCTTTTTTAATATATAATGCAGGTTAGATTCATATTCCTTTTCTGCTGCTACTACTACTACTACTACTAATAGTACTGCTACTACTACTCTTCCCGTTGTTATTATTTACTCCCCCTTTCTTAATGCAGGTTAAATCTTTTTTTCTTCTTCTAATTCTTCTTCTGTTTCTTTACACCTTCTTCTGTTCAACAATTTTTTCTTGTCCTTTTCGATCCAGTTTCTCTCTGCATCTTCATCGAAAGTTTCTTCTACTTCTTCTTCTTCTTTGTCATCGTTTTTGTCGTCGTCGTTCATTTTCTTTCGTATAATTCTTCTTCATCATCGTCATATTCGTCTTCATATTTTTCTCCTTCGTCTTCTTTGTCGTGAACAACTATTTCTTAGTCTTTTTTGTTCATTCTTATTCTTCTTATGCTTCTTCTTCATATTTTTTCTTCTTCTTTTCTGCTTATTCCTTCCCTTCTTTATATTCTACTTTTTCTCCTTCCTATTCTTTTCCTTTTCTCGTCTTTCTTTTTTCTCTTCTTCTTCTGTCTATTCTTCTTCTCATTCTTCTTTTTCATATTCTTCTCTTCTTCTTCTTCTTTTTCTTCTTCTCTGTTATCGTTGTCGTCGTCGTTCATTTTCTTTCGTATTCTTTTTCTTCAGTATCGTCATATTGGTCTTTATTTTTTCTCCTTCGTCTTCTTCTTCATGGTCAAATTTTCTCAGTCTTTTCTCTGCATTCTTATTTTTTCTATGCTTCTTCTTCATATTTCTTCGTTTTTTGCTTCTTCTTTTCTGCTTATTCCTTTTATTCTTCATATTGTACTTTTTTCTTCTTCCTATTCTTTTCTTTTTTCTCTTCTTCTTCTCTCTATTCTCCTTCTTCTCATTCTTCTTTTTCGTATTCTTCTCCTTTTCTTCTTCTTCTTTTCTTCTTCTTCTTCTTTTTCATCGTCGTCATATTCGTCTTCATATTTTCTCCTTCGTCGTCTTCTTCATCTTCTTCTTCTTCTTCTTTGTCAATGTTGTCGTCGTCGCTCACTTTCTTTCGTATTCTTCTTTTTCATAGACCTCATATTCGTCTACATATTTTCTCCTTCGTCGTCGTCGTCTTCTTCTTCTCCTTTTTCTTCTTTCTCTAATTTTTCTTCTTTTACTGTTTCTTCTTTCTCCTCTTCTTCTTCTTCCTCTACTTTTGTTCTTCTACTACTGTTCTTCTTCCACTTCCTCTTCTCTTTCTTTTTCTTCTTCTACTTTTATCCACCTCCTCCTCTCAATTTCTTGTCATCATATTTCTTTCTATATAATTTTCTTCTTCTTCTTCTTCTTCTTCTTTTTCTTCTTCTTCTTTCTCGCCATTTTCTAATCAAGACCATACCAATGTTTCCAATTTCTGATATTATTATTATTATTAGTAACTTATAATTAATTAACCCCAAACAATACGATACGACAGAGAAAGAGAATACTTTAGAAGGATCCGAAAACCCGGTCCTAAACAGGGAAAAAGGGATAAACTTCAACTTCAAAAGACCGGTGAAGCGTGTAGATAGTAGAATTATTATTATTAGTAGCATATTTTAATTTTAGTTTAACCAACTACGACTTGTCAATTTTCTTCTTCTTCTCCTTCAACTTCTTCTTCTTCCTCTACTTTTGTTCTTCTTCCACTTCCTCTTCTCTTTCTTTTTCTTCTTCTTCTATTTTTATCCTCACCCCCTCTCAATTTGTGTCATCATATTTCTTTCTATATAATTTTCTTCTTCTTCTTCTTCTTCTTCTTCTTTTTCTTCTTCTTCTTCTTCTTCTTCTTCTTCAACTCTATGACTGGTTAATCTTTTTTTTTTATTCTTTACATCTTAATCTCTATTGAAGTTTTCTTCTTCTTCGCTTTCCATCATCTATCGTTACAACCCTATAATTTAGTAAACGCCATTCATTCTTTCCTTCTTAATTCTTATTACTCTTGCTTCTTCGCATTACTTTGCCCCCCCCCTCCTACGCACACCTTTTTATTTCTTTATATAACCTATCATCATTGTAATTCGTCCTTTCCTACATTTTTAGCTTTGTATCTAGTGTCAGCCAGCCTTCAAATAAGCAGTAAATAATAGAAGTAATTTAAACAATCCTTGAACTAATAGGAAGAAGAAAAAATGAATAGGGTACACTTATAAAAAATGCTATCCATTTGGGTCGTCACCGGCTTCCATGACCAACAAGATAAAGAGATCGCTGTAAGACATGTTCCTTCGTATATCGAAGCAAGATTCAGTGTCCTCTGAATCGATTGCTTTGTTCAAAATCCCAGAAGTTGAATAATAAAAAATATAAATTGAATTAAAAAAAAAAAAAGTGTGATTGTTTTATATGAAATAAGCCTATTTTACCCCAAGGTCACGTTAGTCGAACGCTCCATTAAGGATTTAACAGGAAAAAATGCAGAATAGAATCGGAACTATGATACGGAAAAAAAAAGATAAGAAAGAAAAAAAAAAGAATTATTTTTATGTGAAATTCTTCTTGGTGAAATGCCTAATCGTCAGTTAATCGATATTCAGATCGATTTCATCTTTGATTCGGGGTTCCTTTATGGAGGAAAATATCATTATCGTTTAATCAAGGGAGATTTGAGTAGAAATGATTGGAAATCAGTCGGAAATTCGATAGAAGGCGTAACTTAATAAAAATGAATTCTGAAACCAGTTAAATTCAGGGTAGATTTCAAAGAATGTCTTTTCTAAGAATGTCGAGAATTTAAAAGAAAACCGAATCCTCGGATTGTTTGCATAGTTATGTTTCCCATTTGCTTCGCCTGGGTCGTTCTATTCCAACGTCTTTTCCTCTGTTTCAGACGCATATCGATTTTTAACTCCATCCATTCACCTATGGGATTATTTTCTTCTTCTTCTTCTTCTTCTTCTTCTTCTTCTTCTTCTTCTTCTTCTTCTTCTTCTTCTTCTTCTAATTAGACTTATTTCCTAATCACTATTTTTTTTCTTATTTTCCATAAATTGTTCTTCGTTTTTACCTCTTTTCTTTTACTTCTTCTGTTGTTCAACATGTTTTATCCATTTATTTTTTCATTCATTTTTTTTTCCATTCCTTCTTCTTGATTTCAACGTTCTTCACATTTTTTGCTATCATATTTATTCTAAATATTTTTAGCATTGCTTTTTCTTCTTCTTCCTGTTCTTTTTCCTCTTCCTTCTCCTACTGTCCCTCTTCTTCTTTTCCTTCTTCTTCCTATTATTTTTGTACTTCTTCTTTCTTACTTTTCTTTTTCTTTCTCTTCTTTTAATTTTTCTTCTTTTTCCTCTTCTTTCACCGCCACCTCTCTTTCTTTTTTCTTCCTCTACTTTTTCTTTATCTTCTACTTTCTCCTCCTCTTCTTCTTCTCCATGAAGTATTTTATCTCTTTTCTTCTTCTGCTAATCAACATGTTTTATTTATTTTTCATTTATATTTCTTCGTCCATTTCAAAATATCCTTCATATCCATATATATTTTTTCTTCTTGTTCTCCTTCCTTCTCCTCTTCTTCCTCCTCCTCTTCTTTTTCTTCTTCTTTCTCCTCCTGCACCCAATCTTTTTTTCTTCTACTTGCTATGCTTTTTCTTGTTTTTTTCTTATTTTTCTTTTTCTTCCTTTCCTTCTTCTTTTCTTTCTCCTTCCGCCTCTTCTTTTTTCTTCTTCTTTTCCTCTATTTCTTCTTCCTCTAATTTTTCTTCTTTTACTGTTTCTTCTTACTCCTCTTCTTCTTCTTCCTCTACTTTTGTTCTTCTACTACTGTACTACTTCCACTTCCTCTTCTCTTTCTTTTTCTTCTACTTTTATCCACCTCCTCCTCTCAATTTCTTGTCATCATATTTCTTTCTATATAATTTTCTTCTTCTTCTTCTACTTCTTCTTCTTCTTCTTCTTCTTCTTCTTCTTCTTCTTCTTCTATTAATTTCATTATTATTCCTAATATTTTGTTTTTTGTTTAATCAATAAAGACATTTTCTGTTATTAATATTATTATTATTCCAGATATGTCAGCTTTGTTTTAAGTGATTCCGTCTCAACTTTCTTCTTCTTCTTCTTCTTCTTCTTCTTCTTATTATTATTATTATTATTATTATTATTATTATTACTATTTGTCTCCTAATTTCACGTGTTCTGTTTCTGGTTAATTCTTTCTTTACATCTTCATCTCAATCACTCTCTTCTTCCTTCTTCTTCTTCTTCTTATTCTTCTTCTTCTTCTTCTTCTTCTTATTATTATTATTATTATTATTATTATTATTATTATTATTATTCCGAATGCTTCGCCATTGTCTAATCAAGACCAAACCAATGTTTCCGATTTCTGATATTATTATTATTAGTAGTAACTTATAATTAATTAACCCCAAACAATACGATAATGTCTCTAAGAGCCACAGAATTACTGACAGAGAAAGAGAATACTTGAGAAGGATCCGAAAACCCGGTCCTAAACAGGGAAAAAGGGATAAACCTCAACTTCTCTTCAAAAGACCGGTGAAGCGTGTAGATAGTAGAATTATTATTAGTAGTAGTAGCATATTTTACTTTTAGTTTAACCAACTACGACTTGTCAATTTTCTTCTTCTTCTTCTCCTTCAACTTCTTCTTCTTCCTCTACTTTTGTTCTTCTTCCACTTCCTCTTCTCTTTCTTTTTCTTCTTCTATCTTTATCCTCCCCCCCTCTCAATTTCTGTCATCATATTTCTTTCTATATAATTTTCTTCTTCTTCTTCTTCTTCTTCTTCTTCTTCTTCTTCTTCTTCTTCTTCTTCTTCACCCCAATTATCAATATCTTCTTTAATTCACTGTCTTTGTTTCTTCTTCATTCTTCTTCATTTACCCGTGCACTTCTCAACTTCTTCTGCAATTAAATTTTCCTTTTTCATTTCCACCAGATCTTCAATTCTTTCTGCCATGTTTTTGTTTTTTTCAATTCGGTCTCTTCTACTTGAGTTATTCTTCATTTTTATTTCTCATATTTTCATTTCTCATTCCCCGTTTCTTCTTTCTATAATCCTCTCTAATTTTATCTTTTTTTTTTATTTTTCCTTTATTTATCTTCATTCCTTCTTCTTCATCTTCCTCCTCTTCATTTGTTTTCTTCTTTTCTCTTTTTCATCTTCTTTCTAGTCTTCTTTACTTCTTTTTCTTTCTCCTTCTCTTCTTCTTCTTCACCACTTCAGATTCTTGTTGTTGTTGTTGTTCTTCTTCTTCTTCTTCTTCTTCTTCTTCTTATTATTATTATCTCTTCTTCCTCTTTTTCTTCTTCTTCTTCTTCTTCTTCGCCAAATCTCCCTTCTTCGTCATTTGTTTTACTGCATTTCCGGTTTCCTTTTGTTCTAGTGATACAGAAGGCAATTGTATTGGTGAAGATAAACTGTCGCTTTGTGACGCCAAATCATACCGTGTCGAGAATGGTCTGTCATTCAGTTTGTTTACAACAGCCAAATCAAGGAGTTTGCTCCTTTAGCCTGCGCAGAGGAGGAGGACACGGGCTCAGACTAAATCTGCCTCCTCCAGCAAATGCTACAGTCTACAAGTCCATGGTGACTTTTCCTTTTGGGAATGTGTCTTCCCGGGATAAAGAAAGAAACTCCGGCTCGCGTTCCTCAATTTTGGAAAAAAAAAAAAAAAAACACGCCGTTTCACCTTTGCAGAATATATAGTTGCCTCGGACATAGTAGATGAATCCGGTACGTTTGCATCTTAAATAATGTTTCACCAGAAACACAAAAGAATCTCCATATTATATGTAAGATCTTTTATATACATAATTATATGTATATTTTAGTGGTATAAAAGTCTCTCTGAGAACAATGTTATTCTGTTCCTGTTCAGACATTCCGTTCTGTCCGTGTAATACGGTGTTATTATCTCGTTGATATAATAATGGGGGGGCACAAAAGGGGGGAAATGCAAAAAGGATGAATACATTTTTCTTTCATAGATTTCTACTGTTATAATTTTGTTTCTATTTTTCTTTGTTTTTTAAGCATCTTCTATTGTTTAATTTTCCATAAATTAGTTTAGGAATATCGGCTTACTTCAATCTATCCAATAGAATATGACAATATGCCTTGAAAAGCACCATAATACCAAAGGGCAAGAAATATTAAAATCTGAAGTGAAATAAGCACTGGTCAAATTGAATAAGAACAAAACATAGGGACGAGATGAAATTGTAATGGGTATTCTGGAGGTCTGAGATGATTTCAGCATTGAAAAAATGATTTGAGGCGTTCCCAGGTCCACCGAGACCTCGGGCGGCAGCACCTGTTAGAGGTCCCAAACAACAGGTAAACACTTAACACACCAAACTAGGGTCAAAACACTATGAAAGGTTAAAAAAAAATATTACCAGCAATATATGCATTTTTAGAAATGGCATTCTGTACTGCTTGGCATTCACCGCGAAAGCTTCAGTATGGCAATTTCAGAAGGTACGTTTCGAAATTCTAATCACCTGAAAGAGGCTGGAGATTACAATGGTCAAAAGGTCGAGAATATGACAACAAAATGAGGACACCATTCTAACAATGTAAATAGTGTAAATAATAACAATACTTCACAATACATCATATTGGAAACACAAACAATAATAATAATTCACCTATTAAAAAACGTCTCCTCAAAGAACAGACCAAACACACACACACACACACACACACACACACACACACACACACACACACACATATATATATATATATATATATATATATATATATATATATATATATATACGGAAGAGGCTATATAGTTCCAACGAGAGAAAAGTGTATATTAAAAGTTAAAAGAAAGCAAAAAGTTTTTGTTGTATGTAGATTTTAAAAAATTATGCTTCATGTTCCATAATGGAAAATAATGCATAATATTTTTTTTGAAAAATACCCATTACAACCAAAAACGTTTGCGGTTTCTCTCTTCTTATTATATATATATATATATATATATATATATATATATATATAGCATTTTTCATTCATAGATGTTTCATTAAATTATATAGACAAGTGTTGTCTATTTATGTAAATTCTTTTCATAACGTCTGATAAGCTTAATAACATTATCATTAAACGAAGAAAGAAAATCACAATATTGATCCATATTTTTTTTAATCCAATCTAAGCTTTTGTAATTGTCATCTTTGTTAATGGCTTATGTAAGCCAAAATAGAAGTTACACAGTAGATTTAGGAACAGAGATGTAACAGGGTAGGGGGTTATGGTTAACGTAGTAGTAATATTGTCTTGATATTTTTGAGTGTTATTAAAGTAATTCTTGCGTTGCTATAGTATTTGTAGTGCAGGAGTAATATTTTCTTTTTTTATATCGAAAAACAAAATGAATCAAAACAACAATATAAACAATAAAATCTTGAGACTTTCAATCTTTGTTTTCTTGTTATCGTCAAAATAATTCTTGTATTTACACCTCCCACAATCATGAAAACAATATATATCAAACTCTTAATGTTTAGTCATTAACTTTTCCTTTCTATACTATCCATTGGTCTATCTACTCAATTAAATCGATTCCTTCATACACACACACACACACACACACACACACACACATATATATATATATATATATATGTGTGTGTGTGTTTGTGAAAATATATTGAAATAGGCAAGAACCTCATTAGGCAAATAATCCAATGTTTTTTAGTATTTTGTTATTATTTTAAAAAACTGTGCTCGATACAAAAGTAGAGTTTAAATATAATTATTTATTTAACGATGGAATCATATTTTAAATAAATAATTTAGGATGGAATCATATTTAAAAATAATTATATATATATATATATATATATATATATATATATATATATATATATATATATATATATATAACACTATCTAATAATTATATGTATATTTAAACAACGTGATCAGTATCTATCTATCTATCTATCTATTCATCTATCTATGTCTACCTATCTATCTGTCTATCTATCTATCTATGTCAGTCTATTCGTATTTATCTATCTATATACATTATGTATAGCAGCAAAATTATCCAAATCATATAACACCAAAATTGTCCAATTGTTAGATTAAGAATTGAACAGTTGATTCATTCATACAAAAAACAGATTAGTGAAGTTATTGATATAAATGGCGAGAATACAACTTCGCAAACAAATTTATTAAAATTACATTAACCCACGAACTTCTACATAAATGTTATGATCCCTGTTTTTAACAAATTTAGCTTGTATAAGTTTTTTTTTTTTGCTAGTACTTTCACCTGTTCATACAGACATGATCAGCCATGGAAATTGATTTGTTTTTTTTAATACATCCAGATAATAACAGGACACGAAAGATAAAATGTGAATCGAAATATGTTTTTTTAGAAATATGTTATTGTTAATTGTAAGAAATTTTGGAGCGTGCCGTCGCAACGCTAAGGTTGATTTTTTTTTAACATAAGTCTTTTTTACTAATATCGTAATTGGAGAAGTCTTTTGTTGTACTAGTCGATGTGGCATAAAATAAATTGTTCAATAAATAGAGCAATGTCGGAGCTATTATCCCGAAAGTTGCACGTCGGATCAGTTCTTTCTAAATCAAATATGTGGCTCAGTTCAATTTATATTACATGAATCATTCATACAAAAAAACAGATTAGTGAAGTTAATGATATAAATGGCGAGAATATCTTCGCAAACAAATTATATATATATATATATATATATATATATATATATATATATATATATATATATATATATATATATATATATATTCATGAATTATTCATACAAAAAAACAAATACAAAGGTTAATGATTTAATTGGCGAGCAATCCATCGTCGCGAACAATTCAAATAATATAAAAAACCCTGAATCTGTTTATGAATGAAAAGATCCTTGTTTTTATAAATTCCGCTGCATGAGTTCTTATTATTTTTACAAGCTTTCGTCTGTTCATACAGACATCCTCAGGTATGGAATAGATTTTGTTCTTGTTTTTTCTCTCAGTAATAAGAGGACAACGAAAATATATGTACTGTTGTAATCCGAAAAATGCTATTAGAAATGAGTTATTATTTTTGGAGCGAACTGTCGCAACGCTAAGTTTGAATTTAAATTTTACAATTGTGCGTTCTTATACAAATATGGTGATATGCGAATTCTTTTTTACTGGTAAATTTTTCTGTCAAAGTGGCATGAACTTTATTGTTCAATAATTACAGTAATGTCGTAACTTATTATCCAAAAGTTGCATTTGGATCAGTTATTTTAATTTCGATAAAGGGCAATCAATTTAGAAATTCATGAATTATTCATACAAAAAAAACAAATACAAAGGTTAATGATTTAATTGGCGAGAAATCCATCGTCGCGAACAATATATATATATATATATATATATATATATATATATATTATTCCAGGATCATTTTCAAACTTATTCAAGATGATCTACGCTATTATATATATATATATATATATATATATATATATATATATATATATATATATGTCGAAGAGGGGAAACATACGCAGCAAGAGATAAACCCAGAAAACTCACGAGAAGTAGTGAACCTATACAAATTGAGTCTACAAAAAATAAAATCCTGATATTTTCTTTACAAATGAAAATATCAACATAGCATTAAAAAAGTGACGAATTATTTTCCCGCCTTGCAATTGCTATCTCACAGAGAAATCGATGAAATTTGCCGCTACTCTACCGTTATTTCCAGAAAAAAATATATAGTTAATCTACCCTTGTGCCACCAGTTCTCATCTCTACGGCGATAACCCAGCTGCCGTGGGAATTATAGCGTACCACCCTCTTTCACTTCGTATTCTATTGAGATGTAAGTTCTATTCGAGAGGTTCCTTCCCTCGAATCGCTGCTTTGTGGGACCGACTCCTCAGAGAATGTTTCCCAACTCACTAGTCTTAACCTGATCAAGACTATATTCTAAGTATGCCTCTTACGATTTAGCCCTCTAGTTCGAGTGGTTCTTGGGCCTTATATAGAAAGAATCTCATAGTAAAAAAATGAGAGAAATATCGCCGTGCCGCTTATTTCCCAAAATATCTGATGACGCTGAAAAATAGCGACGTATATTTAATTTAAAAGTACCTTTTTTTTTCTGTTCATTCTTCGTTTATTCACTGCCGCGTTGTATCTACAGGGCGGTCCGAATCTATCTATCTATCTATCTATCTATCTATGGCATTCTCTTCAACATCTATCTATCTATCACATTGTCTTCAACACCTATCTATCTATCTATTACATTCTCTTCAACATCTATCGATCTATCTATCACATTCTTTTCAACATCTATCTATCGCATTCTCTTCAACATCTATCTATCTATCTATCTATCTATCTATCTATCTATCACAGTCTCTTCAAGATCTATTTATCTTTCTATCGCATTCTCTTCAACAAACAACCAAATCACGTTGAAACACGGATTCTTATACAGAAACCGAAGTTAAGCAACGTCGAACCTGGTCAGTATATATTTAGATGTATGGCCACTGGCGAATAACAAGTGACGTAAATTTGATGTGTGGGTGGTGTAATGGATAATTCTTCGGAATTATTAATCGGTGATTCGAGTTTAAATTGCCGTTAGGTTCGTTATATTCACTTACGCGCAAAATCCACCTATTCTTCCCCAGCTATGGATCAATTAGTAAGACATGTATCACCATTATTATCTAAAAAAATTCTGGCTTTAAATAAATTGCAAAATATTGACAAACCGTAAAAATTATTCAATCAAGCACGCAATTAAATTTTCCTTTCGACGGGATCGTTTCGTTACAAGTGTATATTTCGAAGATTCTAAAATTATTTGTAATAACAGAAAATATATATTTGTTGGTATATATACATAAGTAATGGTAGATTGCCTACCACGGTTATATCATCCCGGTGAAGACGTTAAACTACATCTGCGTCCTGGGTAAGACGTTAAGCTGCGTCCGGCAGCAAGTCCTCTCATCAGGAGGTTTTGAAAATCGTGGAACCGCCTCTTAATTGCTAGTATTCCCAGGCCCGCCTTGGCTCGAAGTGGTAGCGCCTGTTGGGGTCCCATCTATGAGCAAATAATTAAGTATTACCAGCAGTGCTTTTTTGAAAGGAATTAGTACCAGCAATACAATTTTGAAGGAAGTATATTACAAGAAACATATTTTGACAAAACAAGATATTATCAGCAATAAAAAAAAAATTGTCACTTTAAGTGGCCAATTGAAGTTGATGTGCCGTAGGAAGATATAAATTAAACCAATCTAAACCAAAGAAAAAATTGTATTCATATGAAACTACCCTAAAAATGTTGCCGGCATCAAAAAACCCATTGAGGTTGATATGCCGTTAAACAAAATAAACCAAACCAATCTAAACCAAAGAATACATATTCTATTCATACGAATCTATGCTAAAAACGTTGTCGGCATCAAATAACCCATTGAGATTGATATGCCGTAAAGCAAAATAAACCAAACCAATCTAAACCAAAGAATACATATTCTATTCATACGAATCTATCCTAAAAAAAGTTGTCGGCATTAAATAACCCATTGAGGTTGATATGCCGTTAAACAAAATAAACCAAACAAATTTAAACCAAAGAATACATATTCTATTCATACGAATCTATCCTAAAAAATGTTGTCGGCATTAAATAACCCATTGAGGTTGATATGCCGTTAAACAAAATAAACCAAACCAATCTAAACCAAAGAATACATATTCTATTCATACGAATCTATCTCTAAAAATGTTATATCGAAATTAAATAACCCATTGAGGTTGATATGCCGTTAAACAAAAATAAACCAAACCAATTCTAAACCAAAGAATACATATTCTATTCATAATGAATCTATCCTAAAAATGTTGTCGACATTAAATAACCCATTGAGGTTGATATGCTGTTAAACAAAATAAACCAAACCAATCTAAACCAAAGAATACATATTCTATTCATATGAATCTATCCTAAAAATGTTGTCGGCATTAAATAACCCATTGAGGTTGATATGCCGTAAACAAAATAAACCAAACCAATCTAAACCAAAGAATACAATATTCTATTCATACGAATGAATCCATAAAAAATGTTGTCGGCATTAAATAACCCATTGAGGTTGATATGCCGTTAAACAAAATAAACCAAACCAATCTAAACCAAAGAATACATATTCTATTCATACGAATCTATCCTAAAAATGTTGTCGGCATTAAATAACCCATTGAGGTTGATATGCCGTTAAACAAAATAAACCAAACCAATCTAAACCAAAGAATACATATTCTATTCATACGAATCTATCCTAAAATGTTGTCGGCATTAAATAACCCATTGAGGTTGATATGCCGTTAAACAAAATAAAAAAACCAAACCAATCTAAACCAAAGAATACATATTCTATTCATACGAATCTATCCTAAAAATGTTGTCGACATTAAATAACCCATTGAGGTTGATATGCCGTTAAACAAAATAAACAAAACCAATCTAAACCAAAGAATACATATTCTATTCATACGAATCTATCCTAAAAATGTTGTCGGCATTAAATAACCCATTGAGGTTGATATGCCGTTAAACAAAATAAACCAAACCAATCTAAACCAAAGAATACATATTCTATTCATATGAATCTATCCTAAAATGTTATTTAAAATGGCATTAAATAACCCATTGAGGTTGATATGCCGTTAAACAAAATAAACAAAACCAATCTAAACCAAAGAATACATATTCTATTCATACGAATCTATCCTAAAAATGTTGTCGGCATTAAATAACCCATTGAGGTTGATATGCCGTTAAACAAAATAAAGCAAACCAATCTAAACCAAAGAATACATATTCTATTCATACGAATCTATAAAAAAATGTTGTCGACATTAAATAACCCATTGAGGTTGATATGCCGTTAAACAAAAATAAACCAAAAATAAACCAAACCTATTCTAAACCATAAAAAGAATACCCATATTCTATTCAACAAAATCAAATCCAAAAAAATGAATTATCGGCATTAAATAACCCATTGAGGTTGATATGCCGTTAAACAAAATAAACCAAACCAATCTAAACCAAAGAATACATATTCTATTCATACGAATCTATCCTAAAAATGTGGTCGGCATTAAATAACCCATTGAGGTTGATATGCCGTTAAACAAAATAAACCAAACCAATCTAAACCAAAGAATACATATTCTATTCATACGAATCTATCCTAAAAATGTGGTCGGCATTAAATAACCCATTGAGGTTGATATGCCGTTAAAAAAAAATAAACCAAACCAATCTAAACCAAAAGAATACATATTCTATTCATACGAATCTATCCTAAAAATGTTGTCGGCATTAAATAACCCATTGAGGTTGATATGCCGTTAAAAAAAAAATAAACCAAAACCAATCTAAACCAAAGAATACATATTCTATTCATACGAATCTATCCTAAAAAATGTTGTCGGCATTAAATAACCCATTGAGGTTGATATGCCGTTAAACAAAAATAAACCAAACCAATCTAAACCAAAAGAATACATATTCTATTCATACGAATCTATCCTAAAAATGGTTTGATAACGATTAAAATTAAATAACCCATTGAGGTTGATATGCCGTTAAACAAAATAAACCAAAACCAAATCTAAACCAAAGAATACATATTCTATTCATACGAATCTATCCTAAAATGTGGTCGGTCTCATTAAATAACCCATTGAGGTTGATATGCCGAAAAACAAAAAATGAAAAACCAAACCAAATCGAAAAAAACCAAAGAAGAAATATTCTATTCATGACGAATTTTTGGACTATTGCTAAAAATGTTGTCGACATAATTTCGTTCAAGAAATTAACCCATTGAGGTTGAAATGCCGTAAATTTTATTTAAAATAAACCAAACCAATCTAAACCAAAAGAATACATATTCTATTCATACGAATATTTATCCTAAAAATGTTGTCGTTTCGCATTGAAAAAAATAAAGAAAGATATTGAGTTGATATGCCGTTAAAGAAAAAAAAAATAAACCAAACCAATCTAAACCAAAGAATACATATTCTATTCATGAGAATCTATCCGGTAAAAAAAATGTTGTCGGTTTTAAATAATTTTTTTTTTGAGGTTGATAGGCTGCCGTTAAAAAAATAAACCAAACCAAACATAATAACCAAACGAAAAAATAAATAATGGACTATTTCTGTTATTTGAGAAGACAAAAATTATTTAGATGATTATTTTAAAAATAGATAAAAGAAAGAAAGAAAAAAGAAAGAAAGAAAAGAAAGAAAGAAAAAAAGAAAGAAAGAAAAAAAGAAACGTATCGTAGACTGAAGAATGAATAATGGAATATTTTTTTGACACCGTGAGAAAAAAAATAGATAACAGAGAGACTTTTGGTTTCAATAAATAAAAGAAAGAAAGAAAGAAAAGAAAGAAAGAAAAAAGAAATAATAAAGAAAGAAAGAAAGAAAGAAAGAAAGAAAGAAAAAAACATGAAAAAAAAAGATTATTAATCTCAGGAATTCATAAAAATGGATGTCTGAGAAGACAAAAATAACTAGATAAATGAAAAAAGAAAGAAAGAAAAAAAGAACCTCACCTATTAACTCATAATACCTATAAATAATGGAGGTTCTGTTTGATCGCGTGAGAAGACAAAATGATGACTTGGTTTCAATAAAAAAAGAAAGAATGAAAGAAAGAAACCAAGAAAGATTGAAAGAAAAAGAAAGAAAAAAGAAAAAGTTATTAACTCATCCTTCTAATAATTCATAAATAATGGACTGTTCCGTTTTGATCGATGAGAAGACAAAATAGATAACAGAGAGACTCTGGGTTCTAAAAAGAAAGAAAGAAAAAAAGTTGAAAGAAAGAAAGAAAGAAAGAAAGAAAGAAAAAAAAAGTTATTAAATAATACCTCATAAATAATGGACTGTTCCGTTTTTGCTGGTGGAGAAACAAAATAGATAACATGAAGACTGCTTGGTTTCAAGAAAAAAAGAAAAAAGAAAGAAAGAATCAAAGAAAGAAAGAAAGAAAGAAAGAAAGAAAAGAGAAAAGAAAGAAAGAAAGAAAAAATTTTTTTTATTAACTTCATTTCTTACCTCATAAAAAATGACTGTTCCGTTTTGATCGCGTGAATCTGTTTAGAAATGAAAAGAAAGAAAGAAAGAAAGAAAATAAAAAGAAAGAAAGAAAGAAAGAAAGAAAAGGTTTTAACTCATCCTTCTAATACCTCATATAAATAATGGACTGTTCTGTTTTGATCGCGTGAGAGAAGACAAAATAGATAACAGAGAGACTGCTTGGTTTCAATAAATAAAAGAAAGAAAGAAAGAAAAGAAAGAAAGAAAGAAAGAAAGAAAGAAAGAAAAAAGAAAAAGAAAAAGTTATTACTCATCCTTGTTTTTCTCATAAATAA